GCACATTGGTGGGTTGTTGGTGAATAATAAAGTGGTAGAAGACAATGCGTCCCCGAGTCTGCGTCTTATTATTACATACAAATGCGTTCCTATCTATTAATAATTCAATTAATTCATTCATATATTATTTCATATGTGATACGTTTGTTTATTAATGATTTAATACGTTTATATGAATGTATCAAGTCATTAATAAATATATATGCACACTGGGCGGCCAGATTATTATGACCCCCCCCATCAGTACTATCCAAATCCAACGATCATAAAGTTGGATTCAGGCCATTGACGTCTCTTAGAGCACATTACAGCTTGGCGGGGGGCAGGGCAGGGTGATGCACAGGTAAAGGAACCTTCTATTACAGGAGTAGGCAACCTCGGCACCCCGGCTGTGCTGTAACTACACATCTCCTCATGCCTGTGGCTGTCAGAGTCTTGCAATGCCATCATGGGACTTGTAGTTTCCGCAATGGCTGGAGGGCTGAGGTTACCTACCCCTGAACTATTGTTTTGTCCCCCCGGATCAGGTCGGTAGGATGGACGGGTCTGCGGTAACGGTCTGGCGGCGCCGCCGTGGCTCCGTTCCAGGGAGGTTTTGCCTGAACACTCATCCCTGAGCGGCTTGTTTGCATTTCCCTTTTGCTTATGTAAATAACGCGTTTCTCTTCGCTCTGTTTGCCGAAGCTTTGGATAACTGTTCTGTTACCGCGACCTCGGCGCTCACAGCTGTGCACACAGAGAAGAGTTCGGAGGACGAGGGGAAGAAGGCGTTCATTGGGGCTGATTAGGCTAAACTCGGGGTTAATAAAGGGTTAAATAAAGGGACGGACGGCAAGTGCCTTGCTGCGGGTCGCCGTAGATGTACGCCATTTTTTTTTTTATTCTGCTGGCGAGCGCCCGAGCAGACCACAGGTAACGTTATAATCAGCCGGCAATGGCTGTTACATACAAGCGTTCAATCGCTTGTCGGGCGACGAGGACCGTGCGGTCCCCCGCTCCACCGCCACTGCAGGCTATACCGCGCTCCATGTCCCCCACGTGCGGGCCCGGCACAGCTGCTGCCGCCTGTACTGAGGTCGGAGGGATATCCGCATTCTTCCACTTGCTGATCCCTCCTCCGATCTCTGAATGCGAAAGCGACGTGCATGACATCACTTCCACCTTCAGCGGTCATTTCTCCGGCTGCTGGAGAAGAAGACCTCGTCTTCTTTGGGGGTTTCCTAGGTGACACTATAGACTCCCTGATTGGACAATAGCAATAATGTGATAGCAATAAAGTTAAGTATAAAAAAAAAAAAGTCACAGATAAAAAAAAAGAAAAAAAAAAAAAAACATTTGTTAAGTCCCCCGCCCCCACGTAAATACACATTGGGTGCACCTATGTGCTAGAACAATGCTTACACCAATTTTTATTTTGGGTGTAGTGGGCGTGGAATTTTCAGGCTGGGTGTAGTAGGCGTGGAATCCTCAGGCTTGTGAAGGTGGGCGGGGATCACCTTATGTTTGGTATTCCTCAGTCAGGGAGTGGCACACGAGGGCAGGTCACGTGCGAGCAGAGGCATGTAAACAAGGCTGAGGAGGCGGGGTTAACTTCACTTTCAGGAAGTGTCTCTATGGACACGTGATGACGCTCCAAACTCGTGGTGACGTGCTGACCGGCGATTGGAGGAGGTTGACACTCAGGTTTTGATCCCCGTCCAATCGCAGCGTCGCGGCCCGGTCGGCCGTCCTATGAGGGCGACGGTGGGCGGGGCGCAAGGCGGAAGTGTCGGGCCCCGGGATGCGGTGCTGGTCGGCGGTACTCGGGCTCCTGCTCCTCCGGCTCGGGCTGCAGGCTCTGCGGGGTTACATGTCCACCGGGCTGGTGCGAGGGGCGGTCGAGGGGGCCATAAGGCCGGTGTGCCGCTCATCGTACGGCCACTTCCACCTGGCGGATGATGAGTACGGACGGAGGTACAGCAGCTTCCCCGCCGCCCTGCGGCGTCACATGAGGGAGAGAGCCCGAGACATGTTCAGCTTCGCCTATGACAACTACATGATGTACGCCTTCCCCGAGGACGAGCTCAACCCAATCCTGTGCCGGGGGCGGGGCCCGGACACCATGGACCCGTATGTATCCCATACCTGCCTGTCACGTGACTGTCACCTATAGAGCCTGTACCGTATGACACCTATAGAGTATATACTGTCTTCTGTACACCAGGGGCACCCTATGTATCCTATATGTGCCTGTCACCTATAGAGTCTATGACATATGTCACCTATAGAGCCTGTACAGTGCCTATATACTCTCCACTACATACCATGGACTTCCTATATGTGCCTGTCACCTATAGAGCCTATACTGTGCCTATATACTGTCCTTTGCACACCAAGGACCCCCTATGTATCCTATATGTGCCTGTCACCCATAGAGTCTGTACGGCATATGCCACCTATAGAGCCGGCACAGTATGACGCACATAGAGTATATACCGTGTATGTGTGTGTGTGTGTATATATGTGTATATATGTGTATATATGTGTGTGTGTATTCCCCCAGGTGAGCAGGAAAAGCTTTGCTCGGTATGTACAGCACCTTGTGTGTCCTAAAGCAGGGTTAGACAACCTCAACACTCCAGCTGTTGTAGAACTACAAGTCCCATGAGACATTGCATGACTCCTAGAGGCATGATGGGACTTGTAGCTTCAACAGCTGGAGTGCCAAGGTTGCGATGTAGATTTGTGTCGCCTACCACAACAGCTGCTGTCACGTCCAGGCCCCCTAGCCTATTGAATGATGATGCTGCTGCTGCTGCCCGAGCGCTTGTTCCGTACGGGTCTATTTGCACCTCTGGAGCATCGCACACAGAACTGTCCCCCGCTTCACGGCCTCCGGAATAGGAGCTGCGAATGTGGCGGCCGTTCTCAAAATGCCCTTCAAGGTGTACAGTATGCCTGGGAATAATAAAACCAGTGAGATCTAACTTTGCGAGTTGACAACGCCGTACACCTGCTGAAGTCCCAGGCAGTGTTGTCAGTCCTGCCTGACTCCTCTGCTGGTCTACAGAACACCTCCTGTTATGTAGAGGAGACAAGGGGAGAGGGTCTGTAGTCAAGAAGTGTGGATAACTCGGACAGGGGTGACAACACTGATACACTGTGTTGTCAGCTCACTACAGGAAGTTAGGAACTAACTGGATTTCTGGCTGATCAACGAGTATTTTTCAGTGTTTGCAGCATGTTTGTAGGTATAAAACGCAGGTGAATGTCCATTTGTTGGGTGAATGTCCGTATTCACCCATGTTTTATATTTTTTGTATTGCAGAGATGTACAGAATATATTTTTTTTGTAGTCAGCTTTTTATGTGGAATGTTCAGCAGAGCCTCCTGTACACACTGCGATTAAGCTCTGCCGGGGTCGGTCCGCCTCCGGACTCTGCTAATTCCTCCGCCTGTGTTTTATTTTTCAGTTCAAACCTCAACATCAACGACGTCCTGGGGAACTATTCGCTCACCCTGGTTGACGCGCTGGACACATTGGTGGTGAGTTATCACGCTGCTCTGTGTGGTGTCTTCTCCTGTAGTCCCGGGTCTCCGAGCAGACGCGGTGGTGTAACCGGGAGGATGACACGCCGGGTAATATTCAATGGCGGCTTTTCCGCCGGCTCCTCTGACGTTTCCGGGACAGTTCAGAGAGAATCTCACAGGGTTTGTTTTTTTTTCTTGATAACCCAGCAATGCGATATTCTCATTATTAATAATTGGGAATGCACCGATACTAGAATCCGTATTGGTGCCGATACCGAGTATTTGGGGGGAGTACTCGCCCAAATGCTCCCAATGCATATCCCAATACCGGAATTTCCCGTATCAGGAAGCCGTGTTGCGAGACTTTACACGCTGCACGGCCTCCTGATCGGCCGGGAAGCCGACTCCATGTTCTTTTGTCACCAGGTAGCATGTAACTGGCTTGCTGGCCACTCGGGAAGCTGGGGGGTGGGTAATGACTTGCCCCCCCGGCTTCCTGGTTGGCTGGAAAGCCGACTCCATGCTCCCTCGTCACTTGGTGTCGAGAGAGCATGGAGCCGGCTTCCCGGCCCATTAGGAAGCCGGGCAGCGTGTAATGACTCGCCGCCCAGGTTCCTGATTGGTCGGAGAGCTAGCTAGGTGGCAAGTCATTACCCGGCTTCCTGATTGGCCAGAATTAGCTGGCTCCATGGCTAATGAGAAAGCCGGCGGCGAGTCTTTACATGCCACCCGGTATCAGTATTCTGTATCGGCGTAGTCACGCCAGGTTGAAGGGAGCACCAGTTAACGTCACTCTCCAACCCCAAGCATGTACGGTAATGCATAGTCACTCTGGGTAGAAGGGAACAGCAACTGCTGATGTCACTCCCTAACCCTGTGCATGTACGGTAATGCATAGTCACATAGGGTAGATGGGAGCAGTGCAACTCTACACCCCTGCACATGGGCAATAATTCATAGTCATCAAGGGCAGATGGGAAGAGCAAGGGCATCGTGAGAGTCCCACCAAGGAGCGCAGAAGGATTCCGGCACCACTGACATGCCAGGAATGCGGCAGATAGTGCGCATGCACCAGTGATATCATAAACCAAAACCTAGGTGGGAGGTTGATTTGAATGACCCAACCGCTATCAGTGGGCACCATTTTATGTTGATTTTTAATTGGGATAAAGTTGTCCCGGTGAGTTTTATTTCCACTTTAAATCCTGCGCCATTCCGGCTCTAATACACGCGTGTTTCCATGTAGTTATCTGCCACTCCATATGTTCCTCTGTCTATGAAGAACTGCAGGTGTGCCGAGTTTCATAGGGAGTTCCAGGAACCCCCCCCCCCAATACCACAATACCTGCTCCTGGGGGACCAAAACTACCAACTGAAACTGAATCTGTGATGCGTGCAGTGTGCGCGGCCTATTCTTAGACAGCACGCGGAGGTTTCAGGCGTGAAGGGTCACATGGAGCATAGATGCAGCCGGAGTTACTTTCAGGGGTTTACAGTTCATTTCCTGTAGACATCATGAAACAGAACAAATGTTTTGCTGTAAAATAATTCTGAAATGTGTGAGGTGCCGTTACTTGCGGCTCCTGGAAATGCCTTGCCCGGCTGTTTTCTTCATTCAGACCAAGTACACGTTCTTCATGTCCGGAAATAGAGCTGACCATTTACATATTGTACATTCACATCACCCCCTGCCCTGAGGAGCTTGCAATCTAAGGTCCTTTTTGCACACACAGGGCCGGATTTCCCACAAGGCCAACCAAGGCCCGGCCTAGGGGCAGCAGGGAGTAGAGGGGCAGCAGGGAGTAGATATGCCGCAGGGAGTAGATATGCCGCAGGGGTGTGGAATTCCTATCTCCCGACGCCTGGGACATGCAGTGCCGGGCGGGTAGTTGTTTTCTACATTTAGCCCGGCTTTGGGCAAGCAGAGCTCAATGTACAGCGGGGAAGCCGCAACTTGTTATGTACAAGTGATCCCGGCGTAAGGTCCAGTAACTTTGCTGGGGGGGGGTTTGGCGGTTAGGGGGGCACATTGAGGAACCTGGCCTTGGGGCAGCAGAGAGAGTAAATCCGGCCTTGTGCACACATACTAGGGCCAAATTTAGACCGGAGCCGATTAACCTTCCTGCATTACTTTTGGAGTGTGGGAGGAAAGCACAGGGAGAACATGCCAACTCCATGCAGATAGTGTCCTGACCGGGATTCAAACCTTGACTTCACGTGCAGCTTTATGTCTTGCTTATGGGAACGTGTACAGACTGGCCTGTGACGCGGTTGGATCAGCGAGATAGTACGAGACTTATGTACTTTCTTATCTGGCCGAGTCCTTGACTTGTAGCGCCTATACTGCGAACGTGTCAATGTCCAGCTGTGCAGACAACCCTTTATTCACATTCCAGGTCCCAACATCCCAACATTGTGCAAATGCAATCCTGCAGAAGCTAGAGATCCATAGGCTGACCCGATTAAAGCTGAACTCCGGCCTTCCCTTCAGTCTTATGTGACCTCCGTCCTCCCCGTCAGTCTTATATGTGACCTCCGTCCTCCCCGTCAGTCTTATATGTGACCTCCGTCCTCCCCGTCAGTCTTATATGTGACCTCTGTCCTCCCCGTCAGTCTTGCACAATTGTACAGTTTCCTCTCCTGGACTGGAATGTCTTCCTCTGATGTCACAGCACACTGGGAGCTTCTCACAATGTGCATTAGAAGCTGCAGCAAGTCAGATGGAGCCCGCCTCACTTCCTGGGTGGAGGATTTCCAGCATCAACTAGTGCTTTCCTCCCCAGCCTCACTGTTCCTGGCCCCGCCCCTTCCATTCATTGGATTTCAGTTGTTTCAATCATGGGGACGCTCAACATCGCATGTGGGTGTTATCTAGGGCGGTCTGCATGCTAATTCATTCTGCCTAGGTATACCCACTCCTCCAGACTGACACCCACCAAGGCATTTTTATATTTGCATAACTCCTCCCATGAGCCAACCCACTGCTTGCATCAGGGCTGAGGAGTACTGAGGCAGGGTGCTGTGACCCGGGGTGGGCAGCTGTAAAGTATCAGTCCACCCACAATTGATACTGTAATGTTTGGGGGGGGGGTGTTGGGGAATAAAACCCCCTATTAGTGAGACCTCTGCACTTCAGTTCCCAAAGTCTGTACATCTACAACCTCCATTATGAAGGGTTGATGTTCTCTATGCTAAGCAGGGCAGGAACTGAATCAGAATCTTTGCTGCGTTGGGGTTCCCAAGAGATAGGAAATGGAAGGTCGCCCTCGGACGTGAAGTCTGCTTTAATTAGTGGTCTTTAGTGGCACCCTTTTTATTTAGATTGGTTTCTTTTAAGATTGTCTGTCTCAGGTTGTTTGCCTCCTTATTCCATGCTTGCCTGTTGCCAATCAATCAAGTGAGAATATTCACAGCACCAAAATAAGTCTACGGCAGTCGGGTCTTTGGAAGGCCACAAAGCCTCAATGTTATGTAGAAAAGACTGTACTGTGTTGTAGGGCAGAGTTATAAGAACTGAAAAATAAAGCAGAGAGCAGAGTCCTCCAGCAGAGCAGAGTGTTTCAGGAGAGTTAGAGGAAGGAGCAGAGTCCTCCAGCAGAGCAGAGTGTTTCAGGAGAGTTAGAGGAAGGAGCAGAGTCCTCCAGCAGAGCAGAGTGTTTCAGGAGAGTTAGAGGAAGGAGCAGAGTCCTCCAGCAGAGCAGAGTGTTTCAGGAGAGTTAGAGGAAGGAGCAGAGTCCTCCAGCAGAGCAGAGTGTATAGAGGAAGGAGCAGAGTCCTCCTGCAGAGCAGATTATATCAGGAGAGGAGAGTTATAGAGGAAGGAGCAGAGTCCTCCAGCAGAGCAGAGTATATCAGAAGTCAGAGGAACGAGCAGAGTCCTCCAGCAGAGCAGAGTCCTCCAGCAGAGCAGAAGGTGATGATGATTTATTTCTTTCCTTTGCAGGTTATGGGGAATTCCTCAGAGTTTCAGAAAGCTGTCCGTCTGGTGATTGATACCGTGTCTTTCGATAAAGACTCCACAGTGCAGGTGTTTGAAGCGACTATTCGGTAATCAGATTGTCACAGTTCAGGTCTTGTCGTTTCTAAACACTCCAGCCAGGCCGACCATTCATTTTCTGTCCTCCAGTAGAAGACTGACACCTGATGCGGGTAAAGCTGAAACATTTCTTAGCTGTAGGGTGAAGGTGTTCAATGTTTTTACACATCAGGACAATGTTATCCTTTAAAGTAGATCTGAATCATAACTAGCTGTAGCTCGCGGTATACTGAGCTTTGGGTGACGGGAGGACGCTAGTATATGTCCTCCTGTGACCCTTAGGAGAACTATGGGGAAAATACTTACCTCATAGTTCTCCTTTTAAAATACAAATCCAGCTAAGATGATGTATATTTGTAACCCGAGAATGGCGCACGTCTTCTGCAAACTATGAAGCTTGCGGGTTTCCACTATTCAAAATCTGCAGTTTTATTTGTCGCCTAAACCATGAATGTGCATCATCATCAAGGAGCTCTTTCTTCAAGTAAATGTTTCCTTTTGCTTTTTAAAGGAGAACTATGGGGTCAGGGCTTTTCACCATAGTTCTCCTTAGTGTAACGGGAGGACACAAACTAGCGTCCTCCCGTCACCCTAGGCTCAGTATATAGGGAGCTGCTGCTCGCGGTATACTGAGACGCCGCAGCTGAAGCGGATCCTGACAATTATGCCGGGATCCGCCCAGCTGCGTGACTGACAGCTGGCTCTGCCTATCTAGAGGCAGAGCCAGCTGTACCCTCCCCCGTCCGTTCTGCCAGTCAGCGCTGGCAGATCGGAGCGGGGAGGGGGGAATCCAGCCCCTCCCCTGTCACAGCAGAGAGCCATGACATGATCGAGAGGTGAGCGAACCCGGTATGTGTTCGCTAACTTCCCGATCTACTGAGCCGACCTGTGACAGTCTCATTGTCACAGGTCGGCTAGAACTATGAGGTGAGTGAAAAGCACGCACCTCATAGTTCTATATAGTGGATCACTGCTTTGGCTGACTGGGTGCAGATGTCAAGCAGGGGATCCTGCCCACCCCAACTTGTCAGCCCATTCGCAGAAAGACAGCCATCAGCACACCGTAACATCCAACACTCACATAGGAAGGATAACTTGCCACAAACTTGTGGCATGTTTAAATTGTAATTTGTTAACTTGCTGCACACATTCCCTGGCCGGTTGTAGACCCGCCGAACACTCGCAGCACAAGTTCTAGGCGACACTTTTTGAATTTTTAGCAAATTTGCTTGGCAAGTCTACAGCAAGAGTCCTGCGAGTGTGCAGCACTTCTGCAAAGCATCTTGATCTAGAGACTTGCAATGCAGACCTGCTGTAATTGTGCAACAAAATTGTGAAGCGCGGCAAGTCTGCAATAGCTTAGCGAGTCATTTTCACACTTGCAGCTCAATTGCTTGCTATCTGGGCACTTGTAAAACTTTATTACTCCAGTCGAAGGATCCCTGTCTGCAACTTCTTTTTCTGATGCGTTTCACCCTAGAGAGCTGGTTCTGGATCGGGCTCCTGTAATGTTTGTCCAGGAGTCATAATGTTTTACAAGCACTGGACCTTGCTGTGTGCTGCTGGCTATTTGTCACTGGATGTGCTGAGTTGCTCTTTGTGTTCTCCTCTTGTAAGATGTCTTCACCCTCCATCCCCCAGTGACTAAAATCCACCCTCTGCATTGCAGTAGAGTCTGTTTGGATCAAAATGAGGGCACACCCCTGCTGTGAAAGATGCAGGCTCCAGCTCTCTGACCCTGCTGCCGCCTCCTATTGATTGAAGCAAGTAGTGGCAGCTCCCCTATACACTATATAGCCAAAAGTATTGGGACACCGACCTTTACCCGCACATGAAATTACACCACGGCATCCCACGCTTTGCATTGCACTTGGTGATGTGCGGCTTGGATGCAGCTGCTCGGCCATGGAAACCCGTTCCATGAAGCTCTCTACGCACTGTTGTTGTGCCAATCTGAAGGCCGCATGGAGTTTGGAGGTCTGTAGCTATTGACTCTGCAGACAGTTGGCGACTTCTGCGCACTGTGCGCTTCATCATGCGCTGACCCCGCTCTGTCATGTGACGTGGCCGACCACTTCCTGGCTGAGTTGCTGTTGTTCCCAGTTGCTTCCACTTTGTTATAATCCCAGTAACAGGTGACCGCGGAATATTTAGTAGCCAGGAAATGTCACGAACACCTGAATCCAATGATTTGGAGGGGCGTCCCAAGACTTTTGGCAATAGTGTATGTGCCGTTGGACAGGTGCTGCGTGTGATTAGAACGCAGCCCCCGTCCTTCTCTATGGTGCTACGCGGCCGTACGCCCCCCTACGCTCACCTCAAGTGCAGGTCCATAGGGTATGGGTGATCGTATCCATACGCCGCCGTAATGGAACATGTATGCATCCCGGCCAGAAAACCCGCACCCCTACGGACCTGCAAATGAGGTGAGCGTAGGGGGGCGTACGGCCGCATAGCCTCATAGAGAAGGACGGGGGCTGCGTTCTAATCACACGCAGCACCTGTCCTTCCCGGGACCAGTGACGTGGTCACACATTTTAACGTAATCTCGCCCAGTTTTTCGGTGGTGGAATAGGTGAAGAATTCCAACGCTTTCATTTTTTGGTGTAACTATTTTATTTTGAAGGCATGTTTAAATACAATTAAATTAAAATTATTAAATCAAAACAATCTAAAATATAAACAATCAACGTCCCCCCCTCAGCGGGCCACGGTAAAATTATCAAACGTTGACCGGTCCGCGGCGATAAAAAGGTTGGGGAGCACTGGCGTACATGTTCTCTTTAAATCTGACCTGTCTGTGCCTCTCTCTGACCTACGCAGGATTATGGGAAGTCTTCTGTCCGCGCACATCATCCTGACAGACAGCAAACAGCCGTTCGGAAATATGACAGTCAGCGGTTATGATAACGAGCTCCTCCACATGGCCCACGACCTTGCCGTCAGGCTCCTTCCTGCCTTCGAGAACACCAAAACCGGCATGCCTTATCCACGGGTAGGTATACCGGACATGGACGAACAGGAAACTTAAATCACTTTTGGGAGAAGAATCTACTTTAGTGGCACCTCTGTGTGGTAAGAATGTGCGAAGTTGTAGAGACTGAACCTCCTCGTCCTTCTCCTTCTAGGTAAATCTGCAGAAAGGAGTCCCACCCGGCAGCCTGAACGAGACCTGCACCGCCGGAGCCGGTTCTCTTCTGGTCGAGTTTGGCATCCTGAGCCGGCTTCTGGGAGACTCCACGTTTGAATGGGTGGCTCGCCGAGCTGTGCAGTCTCTCTGGAGTTTGCGCAGCAATAGTACCGGGCTCCTAGGTGAGGAGGATGACTAGAGATGTCTTGTCGTTGTCCCACCACCAGCCTCTGTTCTCACTTTCTTTCCCTTTCTCTGCTCTCAGGCAATGTGGTGGACATCCAGACCGGGGAGTGGGTTGGGAAGCAGAGCGGACTCGGCGCTGGTCTAGATTCCTTCTTCGAGTACCTGCTGAAGTCCTACATCTTGTTTGGGGAGGAGGAGGACCTGAACATGTTTAACGAAGCATATAAAAGCATCCAGAGCCACTTGCGGAGAGGGTAGGTGGGTGGGTGGTGTGATTGGGGGGGATCTGTGAATACAGCAGAGGATCAGTTATGAAAGATTTGCTCTTCTAGAACTGCCAGACGGCACTTGTGCTGTACTCCAGTAATTGTGGATCTTAAGATCGGACTCTAGCTAGAACTTTGTTTTTCTTTTCGCTTTTGCTGCAGTAACAAGGCTTAGAACCTATGACCTGTTTCTGTTACCATCTGTGTCCCCATTAGGGACATTTGCTTTAATTTCCTTTCCCCTGAGACACAGCAGTAAGTTTTCCACAAATTTTGAGGCAATCCTTCTCTGACAGTTGTCACCAGAAAGTGTCTGAATTGGAGAATATCGCCTCTACTTTTCTGGTGATAACGTTTCACTCCTCAGTTTTATCCTCAAGACAGTAGTACCCAGCACCAATAGTGAGGCCAGGTTTTCAAGTGGGGACATGTACAGCAATTAAATCCTGAGATGCTAACCGTGCATTACTCATCTGCCTGGTGCCCCCCGTGGGCCCCAGTCCAGTTGCGTGGTGCCCCCCAGTCCAGTTGCGTGGTGCCCCCCAGTCCAGTTGCGTGGTGCCCCCCAGTCCAGTTTGCCTGGTGGGCCCCAGTCCAGTTTGCCTGGTGGGCCCCAGTCCAGTTTGCCTGGTGGGCCCCAGTCCAGCTTGCCTGGTGGGCCCCAGTCCAGCTTGCCTGGTGGGCCCCAGTCCAGCTTGCCTGGTGGGCCCCAGTCCAGCTTGCCTGGTGGGCCTGTGGCCTCCCATGTCCCCTGTAGTTGTCTGTCTTGCTACACTCCACTTTCAGTACCCTCTATTGCCTATCTACCTTGAGGTACACTCGTGAGATCACCAGGACTATACTTTTGCTGGATATGGACTGTCTATGACACCTCCCGGAACAGTGGATGCTGTTAATGCTGCAGAAGTTGTCCATCTCCATACTAATGCCCTTTGGAATGGGGGGTCCAACAATCTCATATAGAGATGCTCAGGTGTTCAGACTTTTGGCCTCGACGTGTATTTCCTGTCTGGTGTTGCTGGCACACAGATTGTATACCCGAGTGTCTTATAACTTTTAAGCCTGAACATGTAACCCCTCCTATAAGGTTGATGAACAAACTTAAATTTGTCTTCTTCCTTCTCCTCTGTTGACAATAGCACTATTCTCGGACCATTCTCCTGACATCACACATGCCCCCCCCTTCACTAGACCATACCTGCTGTATTATTGGCGGGTTGTCACTCTTGTTAGATGGATAGGGATGCTGTGGGAAGGGATGGTTATTATCCTCGGAGGAAAGGGGACAACTGAAGTGTAGATAATGGGTATGGTTTATATGACTGATGGTAACGGTTGATTTGTCCTCCAGGCGAGAAGCGTGCAATGAAGGTGAGGGGGACCCGCCACTATACGTCAACGTAAACATGTTTAATGGCCAGATCATGAACACGTGGATCGACTCTCTGCAGGCATTCTTCCCCGGCCTTCAGGTACGACGTGACCCCGGAGCAGTCTTGTCGTTTTTGTCTACTCCTCCTGGAATTGCCAGCTGATCTGTTTCCAGATTGCAGTTCATCTTCTCTGACAATGCCACCTTGAAGATACCCGGGTGTTGTCATGGAGGATGCCTGTAAACAATTAATGTTGATTATAATTGTAGATTTCATTCTTAAAGGTGTTAAAAGGGGACATAGAGGACGCCATCTGTCTGCACGCCTTTTACTATGCAATCTGGAAGAGATTCGGCGCTCTGCCCGAGAGATATAATTGGCAGCTGCAGACTCCTGATGTCTCCTTCTACCCCCTGAGACCAGAGCTGGTGGAGTCCACCTACCTCCTATATCAGGTAGGTCTATGGCCCACTTTTACCGCAATAAATGATTTCCCTAATGTCTGATTGGTGACCTGAACACAGTCTTTTGAAGAAGAGAGATTTAAATTGATAGCACACCCAAAGACCATTACAAGTCACTTTTTTTTGGGGGG